GAATTTCTAATCAAAACGAAAGCAATACTTCAGTTCTTTTCACTATTATCGTGGATAATGAGTCTCAAGCCAGTGATTTATGGCTGAAATAGAATCATGATTTTTCCGCGCAAGATTCCTTTAATTCTTCAAGGCAGCACTTATTTGTGCTATTGACTTTACAATTACAACAGGTTTAGGGATTGTGATTGAGTTTGAATGTTGTGTCATTCAGTTATGACGAAGATGATCGGCGCTTTGTTCGGTACGAAATTCAGTTGAAGTACAACGAAGGCCGATATTCAGCCATTTATATCGTCTCGAAACAAATTTGCAGAGAGTAAGTTAAGTGAAGTCGTGGCGGAATAGTTGTCACTACATTGCTCAATTTGTAGCAATAACATTAAAGACGCTAGTGGTCTGTTTGCTCTAAAGACGGGGCTCCGCAACGGCAGTTCCACGTTCAACATCAAAATGAAGGTGATTACGCTTTCACTCATACCCAATCTTTTTTTTTCGATGTTCACAGGAATTGAACCGTTTTCCAGAGGGAGTTAAGGATTCTTGCCGAGATGTCCAAGGCAAAAGCGTCTTGGGTGCCTACGTATTTTGATAGCGGTAGCGTTTGTGACATGCCTTTCATCGGTAAGTTCTTGATTTCCTAAGGCCAATGATGAGGTACGTTGACAAGAATGAATTTAGTCATGGGTCTTCTTGACATGAACATTGATAAGTTGCGAGAGATGCTCGGAGGGAAATTCAAGCCAGCATCTGCGTTCTACATAGCAGGTGAAGTGCTGAATGCACTGATGGTAAGTTTCTAGCAAAAACTTCAACGTTATTGTCACAATGGACTCACCGAAGAGCTCAAAACAGTTTTTCTGTGCTATACAAGTAGGGTGGGCACGCCGCATTTTTTGAACAGAAAAGTATGTGAGTGGAACTGCTGTTTGCTACTACTGGCTCGAACTCATATGATGCTGATAGTCGAGTTGGAAACGAGGCGTCTAATAGCACGTTCTTGCTGTGGAGTTAGCTTCTTCGGCCTCCCAGAACTCTTTCGGAATCCTGGGTCATGTAGAAATCGGTCGATAGACCTTGATGAACGCTGCAGTTGTTCAGCATTTCGACGAATTGCTTAGGTATGCTGTGTACAGGGCGCGAACCTGTACCTACTCGGCTTCTAAGAATGTGGACCTCGTGGCATTTTTCGATATTGTGCAGAGTACTCATCCT